GCTCTGCCTGCTCTCCGGGTGCCGCTTCACCGGTTCTGCCTCTCTATCTCTGCCTCTACCCACGTCTCCTCCTCCTCCTCCTCCTCCTCCTCTTCCTCCTCTTCCTCCTCCTCCTCCTCCTCCTCTGGCACTACCCTCTTTCTTCAATTAGCTCTCACAGTCAGCCCATCTGCGGCGCTCCTGTCTGGACAGAACACGTGCAGGACAAACACAAACACTGATCGGGACTCCAAGGTGCCTCCAGTCGGGATGTGTCTCGCATCAATCTGTAAAATGCCTCAGAGAGCCTCTAAATTCTTACTAAATTATTGACATTATCACTACCACTTATTTTAGACCTATATATGTACATATAGTTACATATACGTATATATTTATTTATATTCTGTGTGGATTTTTGTATATATGTATATGTATATACAGTGGGGGTTTGCCCGATTACAAAGAATGCAACGATCTATAATTTTAATCATATGTACATTCTAACAGTGAAAGACAGAATCCCAAAGAAAATTCCAGAAAATCACATCATATGAATTTATAAAAATTGATAACCATCTGATGAGGAAAAATAAGCATTCTTTGTAAGTGGGCAAACCTGCAAAATCAGCAAGGGGTCAAATACTTATTTCCCCCACTGTATATACATATAGTTACTTATGTATATATCTGTTTATATTCTGTGTGGAATTGTGTATATATATAGCTATGTATATATGTATAGACATGTATATATGTATATGCTGTTGTTTTATCTCTGGAGTTAGTAACAGAAATATTTTCCCTCTGGGATTATTAAAGTATTTCTGATTCTGATTCTGATTCAGGTCGCTCATCGTGCTACCTTTGCCTCGAAATCTAATAATCGTCACTCAGTTTAAATCTTGCCCCCGACTATTTTTTATTTCCTTTCTTCGGTGAAGACAGAGGCGAACCCTGCTGCACACTTACTGACTTTGAAACGGGAAATGGGGGATATTTATCTGGTGGATTTGCCCGAAAATCTTTTTGGACGAAGCTAAATCTCAGATTTACAATAAACAAAGACGTACACCATTTGTAGAAGAAGAAAAAAAAACTGTTAACGTTTTGGTCCAATCTACGAGGAAATCTACTAATTCGTTTTTCTGTCTGCAGACTATTGGATTACCCGACCCTTTCAGGGCGTCGTCACATGAGGCTCATTTAGTGCATCACAGCTCCCAAATAGAAAAATAGAAACGCCTCAGTTATGCTACTGTACGCGTCCACGTGTTTGGGGATAAACAGAGGCGGAAACGGGTTCAAACAAGCTCCTCTTTTGTGCTCTTGGCTCCGATTTGCTGCAGGAGCTCTGAGGTCAGACCCTCTCCCGCTGGACCGCTGCTCATTTATACCGAGCTCTCCCAAACCTGAACCAGACAAATTACAATAATTGGAGCATTAATGAAAATGTCCCTATTTAGAACGGTCTGAAATGGAGCACGGTGGGCGGATTATGGACGCTCCTCTGACCCCTCGGGTCGGGATTCTGGAGTCCCTCCACGGGACCAGCTGTTGAATTTGGTTTTAATCTATTTAACAACAATATTTCCCAAGAATCTAAAAGTCAACTTTGCGCGTCTGTGTCCGGAAACTGACCGAGGCTCTCTGGTTTTGGGCGAGCTAAGTGGACTAACACCGTCCAACTCTTCTGGGATGCACACAGTTGGTTGGAGGGGAGAGAAATAATTAATCGGCTCTAACTGGACGTTAAAGGAAGACGGGCTAATTACATTTGCCGTGGTGAGAACGACCAGTTTCCAGACTCTATTTTTGACCTGAGAACGGACAATTACAATGAGATCCAATCACCGAAGACGTTTTAAAAGAAGCGGAACCTAAAGAATGCAGATTCCTAACCCTTTAAGGCCTGATCCAAGAATAAAACAAAACAGAAAATGACTTTTTTTTTGTTTGAATTCCTTATTTGGCCTTTTAACAAAATATATTAAAAGAAAAAACAGAAATTAACTTTTAATATTAATTATTTATTACTATGCGATAAATCCAGATTATTTTTAGTGTAGTCTTCTGCCCCCTGTTATCAGGTGTATCTGATTGTGTACAATAGGATTTTGAGCAAAGTTTTTACCAGTAAATTATGCAAAAGGTGTCAGACGCAAAACATTTCAGAAACCGTATGTATCAAATAAGATTTATTTGGCATTACAGGGTTAAAGAACGTCTGTATCTGGGGGATTTCTGGCGTGTTGTCATGTCTTCCTTGATCACCTTTTGTGTACACTTAAGGTTCCCTTTCCTCATGTGTTTAAATAGTCCTCGTTTGGCCTGGGCCAGTTTGTTTTCGTCTTTTGTTCCTCGTCTTGTTCACGCCTCGTCAAGAGAGATTTGGATTTTGCACTTTATTCACAGTTTTGTTTTTTCCTCGTCACGAGAGATGTTAATTTAATACTTTGTTCACAGTCCTGTTTACTTGATTTGATACTTTGCTCATAGTCTTGTTAATCTCGCTTTGATACTTTGTTCATAGTTTTGTCACAGCCTTGTTTGAACTTTGACTGGTCATCCACCCCTTTTGAGTGCGTTTTTTGTTCATTAAAACCCTTTTGAACCGAGTCCTGCCTCGAGTTCCCAGTCCTGATAGGTACCTTTTAGGGATGGGAATCTTCACCACCAAGGCGATACGATACACATCTCGATACACAGCCAACGATTCGATACATTCACGATTCATGGAATTTCTAGTGATAAGATTCAATATGATTCTCCAACCTCCTGCGATCCGGTGCGATACAGAACGATCTAAATTTAAAATGCTGCGATACAGTGCGATACGGTACGATACAATACGATGCGATGCAATGCAGAAGAAAAGTACACCATGGACTACATAGTTCAAGTTATGGCACGCAAGCTAACTGCCTTTTATTTTGAAACAAAGGAAGTGCAACTTAGAGAATGATTGTCTCTCTGAAACTCACGACACCGTTGACCTAAAGCGCGTAACCGAATGTATTATCTCTGTTTCGTTTTCCTCCATGCTAACGTGGTTTCTAGCTTGCCGCCTCTGTCCTCTTCGAAAGCGAGTTTAGACCCTCCTACTCGCGCAAGGCTTGGGGCGAGACTTGAGTGGCAGAGAGACTAGCATGCACGCAGTAGGCAGGCAACAGGGATGGAAAGAAACGCAACTAAAACTCAAAGACACGTTTCTAAAAAGTTATAATAATAGAAGATAATAATCGGTTTGTATCGATGCAGGTAGTTTTGATACGATGCATCTCGAGTTTATGTGCGGTTTTTACCGATGCAGACGTTTGCAAATCGATGCAACCGTATCGCACAGGTCGTTCCGATGTTCCAATACGCATCGGTGAATCTTGCCATGCCTAGTACCTTTAGTCTACAGATCCGCTCTGGCGTGCCATGGTTGCATATGCTGGCCTACTGTCGGCTGACAGTGGCCTCCGGAGGTCTGAGGTGGTGGAGACCAGAGAGCTGTGAAGCTGAACTCCGCTGGCCACCGTGACAAACACTCCCCGTGACAGAAAGAGCCCCCGGGCCCCCCGACACCCCCGACCCCTGGACCTGCTGCTACTCTGACTCCGACTCGCACAAAAGGCCGTTAATAATAATCCAACAGCACGCCATTTTTCCCCAGGCTCAGTCGACCCTTTAAAATCGAGTTAAATCTCAACACATTTGACTCTAAGTGCACTCCATGGCTACATTTTTAGTCCTGTTTACCCTGAAAAAGCAACAAAATCGCCCCGAAAATGTGCAGAAAATCATCGACGTCCAAGTAAATAAATGTAATCTGGTGCTTTGATTCAACGATTCACTCTCCAATATTTTCACTCTCTCTGTGAATCGTCTCCCCATACACCGCACAGATCCAGGATTGTTGTCACATTCCACTAAAGGGCCAAAACGAGGCTGACATTCATGCTTCAGAGTGAAATCGAATCAGCCATTTCGGTTGATTCTCCAATTGAATCAAATAGATTTCTGTTCTGCTCTGAAATCAACCTTCTCCGATTGGTCTTTTTTTTAGCATTTTTCTATAAAATAAGCTTGTTGTGGCCCTAAATACAACATGACTTTGCCACTAAAGAACACCTACTTGACTCTTACACTTTATATGTGTGGAAACAAGTTAAGACAAAAGTCAAACAGCTAGCCCACTGAAAAGAGGACAGGATGGAGCCAGTTCTTTAAGCATAAATGCAGAAATAGACACAATTATTGGCATTGAAGATAGAAAATGAACTTATTCATAAAGCTCAGATTCTTTCCCATTCCTTCTATTTGGACCTCTAAATGCAGAGACCTCTATTATCCACCCTTTTTCCGCTGTAGTTGTTTTATCTCTCTTCTTTCCCCAAATTTAATTTTTGACACTGCTGACGTGGTTTGTGTCCCAAATCCTGCCTTCCCTCCCATTCAGTAGAGCAGAGTCTATCAACAAATGCCGTTTTCTTTTGAGACGGAATGAATCAGCTGGTACACATATTGCTCAGAGGGCCTGGAATAAAGGTCATGTTGTGTTGATTAAGCCAAATTGAACAGAAAGCACTGTTAAAGCGAACGAACAGTTAAGGCATTTATGAGTCAGCAAAAACCGGCGTGCTCAAAAAGAAAAACCGACCGAGACAACCATTACCCGCCCAGTTTGTCGACTTCTGCCCACAGCAACACCTGTCACATCTGGGGGGATTTTTGGCGTTTTGTCTCCATGGTTGGCATGTCACTTCCTGTTTTATTTTGAAAGGTACACCCCCTTTTTTCAGGCTACTATAACTCCCCTGTGTATCGTATGTCTGCTTGTCTTCCCTAATTGTGTTCACCTGGGATTCCCTTTGTGTGTTAAAAATATAATAAATAATAATAAAAATAATAAATAAAATAATAATAATAAAAATAATAGGAAATAAATAAAATAATAATAAATAAAATAATAATAATAAAAAATGATAGGAAATAAGAAAAAAAATAATAAATAAAAAAATTAATAAAAATAGGGTTTCCTCTTGTGTTGGCCAGTGGGTTTCCTCCTACGTCTTGTACTGAGCTGAACTAAACCATAGCTATCCTTGCCTTGCGCCTCGAACTTGTTTTTTCCTCGTAAGAGTGATTTTGATTTCCTACTTTGTAACTTTTGTCACCCTCCTTTCAGAGTGAGTTTATTTTGTACTTTGTCCATAGCTTCGTCTGCCTCGTTTTGAAAAGCGATCCGTATTTTGTACTTTGCCTTTCCACTCCCAGCGAGTGTGCTTTAGTTTAGTTTTTGCTAGAGATCTCTGCCTCTGAGTCCTATCAACACCTATCAAAACACTACAACCCAGTCGGCCATTCCTCTTAAAATCCTCCAGATCCTCTCCTCTCCTCTCCTCCTCTCTTATCCCACATCTCTTATCCCACATCAAGCCTAAAGAATGAACAAGCCCCTCTCCAGCCCCGGAACTGATTGATTGATTGATTGACTGATTGAATACTTTATTGATCTCCAAGGAGAAAATCAACTTCCAGTACAGCCCGTAACCAAGATCGTACAAACAAAACACATAGACGCACCAGTTCGGGAAGACAACGGGCAGAGCCAGTATGCTAGCAGATCCCCGCTACACGTGACTCATTATTGGCTGGAACCAACACACACACATACACAGACGCACACTGACGCACACACATCTGTCTGTCACTGCCACTTCAGTCGATGGAAACACACAGTCCATTAAATCCCCGTTCAGCAAACGGCGCCCTCCTCTCATCAGGAGGAGACAATGGCGGCCGTCTTGACAGACAGTGTCGGGATTGTGCGTCCGTGTGGTGACAAGCGTATTTAACAAAGGACGGATCAATCCAGATCAAGGGAACAAGAGAGCGAGAGCCAAACACACTGTAGGAAAGCAAAAAAAAAATTCAAAGGAAACGCCAGACGAAGCAATAAGACGGGGAGTGGGGGGGGGGTGTGATTCCTCTCATATAGAACAGCAGGGACGCACTGTAAGGACTCCAAGGTGACACTGACGGCCATTTGAAAAAGCGTTTACTCAGCATTCCAGCAGCCGAAGCTTTAGATAAGAGCACCGTCCCATCCAACTGATGGACCATAAGGCCGTTTTGTATTTGACTGCACCACACTGTTAGAATTAGGCTAAAATGACTCATTTTAGCATTGTATGCTATAACAAAATCTATGCTAATTACCGATTTTGTCTTATTGTTTTAAGAACTTTGTGTTAAAGTCTCTGGCTTTAATCACAGATTCTTCCTTTCTCTCTTTTTCATTCTTTGTTGCATTAGATCCACCTTTCGGTCAACACAAACATACACCATTTGTTACCACATTCCTGTCATCTGCATGAATTAGGACCTGGCCTATTCATGC